ATCATTCGGAGGAAGTTGATGGAGGAGGGAAGGATGAGAGCGAAGAGTAATAAATAAAGTGAATGGAAGTGAGTAGATGTGTATAGTAAGTGAGTAGATGTGTGAGAAGCCCAGTGCACAGATGAGCCATAATGAACAAGCTAGTTTGATGAGCATAGCATACTGAATAAGCTGTAAGTAAAAAGACAAGCATTACCCCATGGTTATTGGTAAGATAAAGAAGATGTTTTCGAGTGTCAGTAGAAAGGAGGAGATACTTGGGGACATTTATGATCAGGGTGAGATTTTGATTGACAGATGTTCAATACTGAAGATTAAGGACGAGGTGTCTTTTGAGAAGAAGGGAATATCTAAGAAGTTTAAGATTGATGAGATTGTATCACTGGAATGTGGAGAAGGATCGGTATCATTTATCCATGGCCATAGGAAGTATGTGTTTATGGGTTCTGGAGATCTTTCTAGGCTTGAGAAGGAGATAAGGCCTTTCACAAAAGAAATTGAGGAGGTTTACAAGAAGACAGCGAAATACTCGAGATATAACACAGATACAAGGATTTTTGAAGAAGTAATGGAGAAAGTGAAAGTACAAATAATCAGGGACAAGGTGTTTGTAATAAGAATAGAGACAGGCAAGGAAGTGATACATTTTGAAGAGATCAAAACAGATACACAGTACTATATGGATCAGGCCAACGGGACGTTTGTATGGTCTGTGCTTAAGGATGGAGGATTCCATACGTTTTCTCTGAGGTTTGCAAATAACGTAGATTTTTTAGAGTTTCTCAGTAAATATGTTGGGTGTTTGTACAAGAATGTGAACGAGAATAGGCAAGGAGATGCAGATGCAGAGAAGTACTTTGAGCGGATGGAGATGGAGAACTATATAGATGATGAGTCTGAAAGCACAGATGAGAAAGACGACTACGAGAGCTGTGATGACGATGAGCTTGAAAATCATTTTGGAGAAGCGGATGAGAAGAACAAGCATCTTGTTATAGGAGATGAGATGGCGTTTATTACAAGGGGAAAGTCTGTAGGAGTGTTTAGAAACACAGAAGAAGGATTGGAGTTTAAGGCAAATATTAAGGATGTGCTTGACAATGAGATAGAGAAGATGATTACGCATGGGAAGTGTAAGGAGCTGATATATTTGGATAAGAACGAAAGGGACAGGCTGCATAAGCTGGATGTGGAACGAGGGGAGGTTGTTGAGACATGGGAGATGAACAGGGAAGTGAATGATTATTTTGATTCTGAAAAGCTTGTGGATACAGGGACGCTTATTGGAGTGTCTGATTACTCGGTGTTTAGGATTGACCCAAGAACAAAAGAAAAGGTGGTTGAATCTAAGGAATACAAAGTGAAGAATGGGTTTAACTGTGGAATGGCTACCAGCAAAGGGCATGTGGTGGTTGCTTCTAGGAAGGGGGATTTGAGGCTGTATGACAAGATTGACAAGAGGGCAAAGTCGCTTCTTCCTGGGTTTGGAGATGAGATCAAGCATGTTGATGTTACAAGCAATGGGAAGTATATTATTTGTACGTGTAAGAGCTATTTGATGCTGAGTAGTGTGCCTGGTGATTATAAGACACCTGTTGGGAAGGACAAGCCGGTGCCTAAAAGGCTACAGTTGAAGCCTGAGCACTTGGCATATATGAATGAGGAGATTGACTTTACACCGGCGAAGTTCAGTACGGATGAGTCTGAGAGCAGTATAATTACAAGCACAGGGAGCTATGTGATAAAATGGAATCTAGAAGATGTGCTGAATGGAAAGCCATATTCGTATCAGCTTGCAAAGTGCAATGATTTGATAGTAGCAGACAATTTTGAATTTGGCGAGAATAGCAGTGTTATTGTTACTATGCCTGATGATGTGAGGAAGGTTAGTGTGAAGAGTCTTAAGAAGCCGGGTAGATCGATATGGAGGTGAGTACAGGAGCTACTTTGGCTAAAGAATGAAATAAAGAAGCCCTTGGTGTAATGAGTTTAGGATTTAATGCTGTAAGGTTTAAATATAATGCGAATTATAGAAGGAATGCAAATGTGAGATTCAATGAGGTGCAGGTGGAACGAGTGAATAGCGAATGTTGCGAAAGGAAGCTGATCTCTACGATTGTGAATGTGGAAGAATATCACAAGACATGTATAACAGAGGTTAGCAAGCTTGGATCAAGATGGAGAAATGTGTATAGGGTAAAGCTTGAAAAGCAATTTGATTATGTTCCTGGAGACTCAATTGGAATTATCTGCCCAAATAGTGATGCATTAGTTTGCGGAATAATGGAGATGCTTGAGATAGATGATTTTGTGTGTAAGATCACAAGAGGAGGGAATGAAGCATTTAGCTATGTGGGGAGTGTACGAGAGTTTTTCAAATACCATTTTGATTTCTCAGGACATCCTAGGCGATCTTTTATGCTTAGGCTTAGTGCAGGATGCGACACTGAGGAGAAGAAGAGGCATGTTGAGTATTTATGCTCAAATGAAGGCACGGATGATTACTTGAGGATGAGCAGCCAGTGGAACAATGTGATTGACTTTTTGAAGACGTTTAGAATCAAGCCTGGGCTAAGCGAGCTGATAGGAGAATGCGGACTTGTGAAGCCTAGGTATTTTTCATTGATAAACAGGAATGGCTGCAACTCTGAGATTCTGGTTGGGATAACAAGTAAGCAATTCGATTCGTTTGTCAGGTATGGGCATGTGTCTGATTATTTACTTAGCCTGAATGGAGTTGGAGAAGTAGAAGTGAGCTTGAGAAAGAACTTACTGTTCAGGCTGTCACCTGAAACCAAGAAGATTATTGCGATATGCACTGGAACCGGAGTGGCGCCGTTTCTATCTTTTGTCAAGAATCTTGAGCCGCATCAATCGATCTGGATTGTCTATGGATTTAGAGATGAGGAAGATAACATATATAAAGAAATAGCCAGTTATGACGAATTTGCTTGCAACAATAGAGTAAAGATAAGCAAGGCTATGTCAAGCAAAGGTATATATGTTACTGATTATCTGAACGCAAATATGAATAGCGTCAAGGAATATGTAGATAGTGAATGCACCATATATGTCTGTGGAAGAATGGATATGCAAAGGATGGTGTTTGAGATATTCAAGAGTGAAATCCCCGAAGCTATTGAAAGCAAGAGGCTTGTGTTTGACCAGTGGCATTGAGAATACAATATGCAAATGCTACATGACTTTCGAATGGATTTATTATTTCATTATGACTTTTGGCATATAATCTTGCATTTAATAGCGATACCTATGAGAATTGGGATGAGCACAATCAAGATAGAGAAAAGTAAATAGTGGCTCCATGCCTTCGAAATTATCTTTTTGCCTACAAATCCATCTAGAGATGAAAAGTAAATGCAGCCGCTGTCGAATCCAACTCCTGTGATGGGAATTCCACATACTCTTCTCATTCCATAAAATGCTGGCCCTTCAAATAGATATACAAATCCATCTCCTGTTCCGATTGTTGTATATCTTCCATCAGATGAAAAAGCAGTTATCTTCGGAATCTTGTACGACTTTTCATGGCTTCCTTGGAAATACAATACAGACTCTCGTCCTTTCAAGTAGTATGCTATCCCACCATCTCTGTACACTATCTTACCGATCTCCTTGTCATACATATACTTCCTTGAGTTAAACACAAAAGTATACTTGCCTTCCTCAAAAACAACCTTGTGTATTGCTTCTGATGTAATGAACATTCCTTCCCAGTTGCTTACTATGCAAGGCTTACCTTTGCCCTGCTTAAATGCGATTTTATTTCCATTTCTATATGGCTTGTACATGTACTGTTCTTCCAGGTCATCACTAGCAATCGATTCTGTTTTCTTTATCTTTTCTGGATCTAGCATACTATTAATTATACTCGGATCATCTATTACATTATGGAATCCATACAGCATCTTATTGCTTATTGCATATAGATCCTTGCAAAAAACACTTGAAGACACCCTTATGCATACTTTCTTGATCAAGAATATCTTCACTCCATCAAACCTCAATATGTAGAAAAACTTTTCTCCAGAGCAAGCACAATACAAGTTTGATGTGCTGCTTGCATTCATCAAATCATCATCGAGCCCTGAGCTACTAATGGCATTGCTATGAGATAATGGCATGTCCTCGCACTTAACACTCGACTCATCTCTATCTCTAGCCGGCATGATGCTTTCTTTTATGAATGTGCTCTCTTTTTCTTTTATTGAGACCGATTCAGACTCATCATTATGAATTGACGACCAACCCGTTGTTTCTTCGTCATACTCATTCCATGTAATGTCATCCTCCATCTCAATGGCTCGGTCCCTCGACTCACAATCATGCAGTGATATGTCCAGAATGATGTCTTCCGTCTCGTAGCTACATATCTTCTCAAGCGTCACACTCGACATAACCGTGATCCCATTAGCTTTCCCAAACCCCTTTTCTCCTCCTCCTCCTCCGATTACCAGCAGCTTTCCTTTGATTTTCAGGGCAAAAACCGGGAATGCATCCGTCATTTCAATGGGCTCTGCTCCTCAACAAATAATCCTTCAAAATCACAAACATGTTTAATCTGCCTTCCTCCTATTTGTTCACTACACACCCTCTTACCTTTTCTTGTATCACATCAAGATCAACTTTACTTATAGCCCCGTTGCGGACCTGAATCTCTCTAACATTGTAACTTCTTACAAACTGCCCTTCATGCTGATTACCCCTTGACAAGTAAAACGTAGGAATCGTATCAAATATCTCCGCAAGATCTCTAACGCTCCACTCGTTTATCTGCCACTTCGATCCATCAAGAATTATACACACCACCCTTCTCCAGTCCTCAGAAGTAAATCCCTTCACATCGTCTACCACCACTAAATCATATCCCATGAACTTAATCTCTATCTTATTGGCCTCACTGATCCCAACATTCATCAGGCACCTTCCATTGTCCAGAAACTCCCTGATGTTGCTCAGGTTGACCGGAGAAGACACTGACTGTGGAACAACCATATAGTAAAACCCTCCTCTCATCCCCTCCCGTCTGCAAACACTCTCCAAGTATCCATAATCATGCTGCCCAATATACCTGAATTCAGGGCCATCTATCTCGACTGAAACAGTAGCCTCTTTGAAATTCTCAATCTCCTCTATGATAATCTTCTGGTCTGTGTAGTATATCTTCCCAATTCCACGCTCTCTGCACAGACTCATGTATGTTGTGTACTTTTCAGTTCTGTTCATCAAATAAAACAGCACCTGCTCGAGAGTATATTCTTTAGTCTCGGTTCCTGTAAACTTAACTGTCTGTGCACGCAATATTTGCTTTCCTGCAACACTTACTTCCCCTAGCAGTATTTGGCATACACTAGGATCTCGGAACACCTTCTTAAGAATGTCCATCCCAAGGGCCTATTCCCAAAGTTTTTATCACTCCTCTATGCTGCACCATTTCACAATCATCGCCACAATCTTTCTATGCAAATGCCGACTAAATGCTCATTCAGACTTCAACATTTAACAAAACCATCGCTACTCTTGACATTATTATTTATTCAGCAATAAACCATGCTACTTTCTGCTCTTCATACTCCTATTCGTAAAGTAATCATCTAGCACGTTTTCTTCCACAAGACCTCTATCTCTTAGCATCAAGACTTTGCCATGCAACACTTCCAAGTTGAATGGTGGATGAACAAACAAATTGGTTACAAGCCTTACAAACGTCACCGCCTCTTTCTTATCTCTAGGCATAAGCATAAATAAAAATGACATATCAAATGCACATCCATGCACTGAAAAGTATCTGATCAAATCAAGAGCCATAAACATAGGCCCTTCTTTCATCAGACATTTGAGTTCACGCTCAAGATCCTCACTGTCCTCAGGCGAAACATTCTCAATACATCGGGCAATGCAGGGATATTCGTGCCTTGTTTCTTCTGTGATTCTATTCAGAATTGCCTTGATTCCTTCCGTGTTGATTGAGTCATGAATACGAAGCTTGCCTGCTGACACAAAGTTTTTCTTGATGAAATCAACAATCTCGTCTTTGAACTCGTCTTTGAGTCCATACTTCCTCAGAAACCGCTCTGCTACCTCATAAGTGTTCTCGTCATTGTTAAACGACAATGTGTAGTATTTGTTGTCAAGCTCCACCTGAAACGTATTTTCATAGTTATTCAACCCTTGCATGCTTCCCATAAAAACCCACTCTCCATCAACTTCCTGGTATACTTCGCCACCAACTGTCTTAAACTTCTGGCCATTCGAAACAAACTCTCTGTCTCCGCCAACAACCTTCATTCCCTCCTCTATCTCTGCCAATTTCTTTCTTGCATCCTCTGAAACCTCCTTGGAGTACATATAAATCCTTCCATCATTACACCCGACATACACTTTGCCTCTATTGCCACACACCGTCCAGCAAGAAATAACTGGAACACGAACATCCTGCAATGTCCTCAAATCCATGTCAAAAAACATCACTTTTCCATTCTCTCCACAGCACACAACCATTTCTTCTCCATCAACCGCGCACAGACTCAAACAGTATCCAAACTCATTCAACGACTGATGCTTTAACAAAACACCATCCAATGTCATCTTCAGCACTATCCCTTCGTTATCAATCGAAAAAACACATCCATCAAAAACAGCAAGGCTTCTAACACAAGATACATGATATTCAAACATACTAACCAGCACACCGTCTTCATAAATCCTCAAAATATTGTCCGCACACCCCGTAACACACATATTTTTTCTTACAAACTTTGCACTCCATACAGCTGCAGGATGCTGTATCCTCACTAAACACTCTGGATTGGCATATTTACAATGGCTTACATCCCAAACCGCCACAGTACAGTCCCAAGAGCCAGACATCAAAAGCTCGTCAAAAGCATCAAGAGTGCAGACATTCATTCCATGCCCATCAATGTATCCGACAGGCTCCATGCTTCTTTCGCCATTCATACACAAATCAAAGTTCATATTGTAAATTGCAATCTTTCCATTCTGGCATCCTGCAAACAAGCAGTCATCTCTAATAGCAATGCAATTTATGTATCCACATCCAGGAACTCCCTCAAAAATAGTGGGCTCTGCACCATCTTCACATGCATTTAGGCATACCCGTAGCCTTCCCTCTCTTCCTCCAGTAACCAACACTTCATCATTCATTAGTATAGCCTTTATATCCATAGCGCTAATCTTCTCAATTCTTTCTATTCCTAGCATTGAATCAGGGTACACATATTCAAATTAACCTATGCACAGCACATACTGCATCAATCAATTATTCCATGCTTAAGCTTGTGGCCATTGCTGTATCCATAATCAAAATACAGCTCCTGATGTATTCGTATGTCTGTAGTGGCATATAATCCAATTCTTTTGGATCCATTGACATTCATCGCAACTGCAAGTAAGTTTGCATGCTTTACAGAATGGTTGATGAATCTGGAATTGTTTCCTATTGTTTTCGAGTCAATCACATACTGTGGCTTTCCATTTTTAATGCACAAGTCAAATAGATACGAGCATCCTTTGATGTCGTAGAACACGCCCCGTCGCTCTGCCTCCCCGTCGCTTATTATTTCGCCTGTATACTCAATAACAAAACTTCCCTCGGAAATGCATTCTGCAGCAAACAGCCCGCATCCAGAAACTTTGCTTGAAGAAACATATGTTTTTGCATGTATTCCAAGCTGTATTGATTTATTGTCACACTCAGTGCATCCACACATAGGTGTGCATTCTCGCACTCCATCTGAGCATTTGCATCCATTTCGGCATCCGTCCGAGCATGAGCATCCCGTGAAAAAATTGTTGCAGCCAACGCATAGACATGCCATTTCGCAGTATGTTCTGTTGGCTGCACACACACATCCGTTCTTCTTTGAGCATTTTCCTGTGTGGCTGCATGGCGTGAAAAATACCTTTTTATCTACCTTCGTCTGGCTCCTCTTTGTCTTGGATTTGGCAATGTGCTTGAAAGACCACAAATGCATCTGTGCATTATACGTGCTGCTTATTTCGCTGCAGCTTACATACTTGCCATGCCTGATGCAAAAAATCAACGATGCAATGCATGCGTCGCCTTTAGACTGGCTATAAGCAATAAACAACTTGTTTTTTTCATATATGTTCAAAGTGCCTATTGTAGACACCCGACCAGCATAATGAGCATTCATGCTATTACAAACACCACTGTGGCACATTTTTGTAGCCATGAATGCATTCTGTGGGTCCTTTTCAAAGTCTGTAGGCTTTATGCAAATACCATCTATAATGCAGTGCCACTTGCAACCAAATATAAGGCAAACACTGCAGAATTGCATCCTCATGTACTTAAGGGAATTCACTATTGGCTGTGCATTGGCTTCGGTGGTATTCGCAACCATCCTTGCGGATTCTTGATAATCATCGCAATCCTTTCTCGCAAAGCCGATGCTTTTGTACTCTTTGAGCACCACTGCTGAAAGCAATGCACTGCAAATGTATGGAATATAATGAAGCACAGCATCATCGCCACTTTGTACATTCACATCAGAATAAGTAAAATATACGCTGGATATGCTAGGATCTATCCTTGGAATCACAATCTTGCTGGCTCGCGGGTTGAAAGTGCATGCAGATGGAGTGCTGGATAGATCCGCTTCATGGGCAAGGCTTGCACAAATAGTATTGGCATAAAAGTAATTTTCTTCGATTATGCTCTCAATGTCCAATCCGTTCTTGCTGAATGAATTGCTGCGCAAATGGCCCGCATCGGCAGTTTCACTGAGCATCTTGGATTTGTTTGTATGTTCTTCAGAGCCCATGCGAGAAAGAAGGAATCAGATCTTCGAGAAAGGATTTATTGACTCGTTTGTTGACGATGAGGTCATAAATTGGATGTTCGATCCAATACTGCACAGAGAAGTGCTTGATGGGGGATGTGATTCATACCTGAATTCACAACATGGGTTCTGATTTGAAGCCCATGCAGATATTTTCATGGCCACAACCTCCAATCACGGACATGGCCACTCCTCCGGGAATACCTTGCACATACACAAGCTTTGGAATAGAGTACAATGTAACCGATGGATTGCCTGTTTCCACTGCATTCGAGCGTTTGGAGTTTGACATGAACAAGCTTAGGATGTTGGTTGATCTGTCGTTCTGCACATTCATTGAATTGATAGCATGCCCTTTTAATGCAGATGGGCTTGTTGAGAGTATCAAATCGATTCACATCGAGATTAACCAGATGCTGAATGGATCGAAAAAAGCAGAAGCAATTGATGAGATACAGAGGATCCGGAATCAGTACATAAAGAACAGAAACATGCTTGCTGAGGATGTTAAGAGGCAGATGGCCAACTTTGAGATATAAACACATATCTGTGCTTTATGATGCTAAGATTTATTATACAACAATCAGGTAGGGCTTCTAAGCATACTTGGAAAGGTCTATAGCAGTGACTGAAGAATCATCAAACAGAATAAACATTCTATTATTTGCAATACAGAAGTCCTTTACGACACCTTTATTGAATGTGCCAATTACATTAGGAGTAGCATATGGCCCAGTGTTTTTCATGCCAAATGCAAGTATTTGCTTAGATGCAGTTATTGTAAAGAGAGTGTTGTTGTGTACTTTGAATCCTCGTAGAATTTGATCATCAAGCTTGATATCACCGACAAATGCAGTGTCTGTGCATGCATTGCCTTCATCACATGTGTACTTTGGGAGAATGGCGGAAATTATGTTTGGTGCAGAAGAAGAAAGAATCAAGCGGCCGTAGAATTTCACACATGGAATAAACGAGCCATGAATATTGCGTATTGTATGCAAAGGCGTGACGAAGTCATTACAATCACAAGATAAAGGGATTCTCCAGACTCTGATTGTGCAGTCTGTACTGGTGGATGCCAAATACTGTATGTCAGCGCTTACATCCATAGACAGTACATAGTCCTTATGCCCCATGTAGCCACCAAAAGTGCACACAAGGCGTAATTGATTTATATTCCACATTTTTATGGTTGTGTCTTCACTACAACTGAATAGATATTGGTTTCTGATGCATTTGATTGATACAATTGATGCGCCGTGGGCATCGATGTATGATGCAAACATGCCTTTTGATAGGTTCAGAAGTTTTATAATGCCTAGCTTTCCAGCAACTGCTAGGAAGAGTTGTTTTTTCAGCACAAGGAACTCGCAGCATATGAAGCTTTCGCAAGGATGCTCATCGATGATTCTTTGAACAGTATTGAATCTAGTGTTATAGGAAACAACAACTGCAGTACGGCCACCTACCAAGGAGATCACGCTATAGGAGTCATGTATGCACATAGATATGAGTTTTGCATTTGGGACCGAGAATACTGACTGCATAAGGGTACTGATAAGTGAATGATATGTGGTGCAATAAAGTGACATTCGGATCTATTGTACCATGGATCCTTACTGGTCTAGTGGTTAGGATGTCTGCCTTTCAAGCAGGAGGTAGGGGTTCGATTCCCCTGTAGGGAAGCTTTTTGCATCAATACAGTAAGCAAAATCACTAAATCAGGTGTTAGCCATGATGATCTATGCATTCTAAGTAGCATAGCATCGTGTTCATTACCAAAGTCAATCAGAACACGCTCGTCAAGACAGCCCTCTATTGTGTAACAGAGCTAATAATATATCCGTTTATTCAACTCCTCAATCCCTACAGATCGTAATAATTTACCACACTGAGATCAGCCTAATCTTCATCAGGCGTCATGCTAAACCCAAGAGGCTCAAACAGGTATCCCTTCCCACGGAAAAACTTCGAATGGAATTCAATCCAATTCAATCGCATTGCATGAAGACACGATCCAAGACCTTCCATTCCAATCAGCAAGATTATTGTTCCCACTGCGTATATTCCCGAAAGCATAAGCGGAATCACAAACCCTCCACGCCCTATTGTGAACTCGTGCAGCACCCTTGTAAGCTGAGCATGCGCCAAAGAAACCGCCCACAGCCGCAGGTACGAGGACGTGTTTGATATAAGCCCAAGGCCAAACTCAACAACATGTATAAACTGATTGATCCACAATCCTGAAATTTCATCCTTCTTCACCATTTTTTTCACAATCATGTATATAGGCTTGCCAACAAGCATCCACGGCACAGACACTAGCATTAGAGTCAACAGAAACAGCTGAACCTGTTGCTGGTGCGGATACATCTCTTCTGCAACCACAAACGGATTCGTAAACATATTTACCAAAACTCCAATTATCGATGGATAGTTGGACGTCACCAACCATTTGTAGATGATCAAAAACACCATATAGCCTGCAAAAGAAAAAAACACAATCGTCTGAGGTATCAGAACACCATATATCTCAACAGGCTCTTTCAGGTACGCTGCGTTCATAAACGATATTACCACTCCAAGGCTCATATGGAAAAACCCAATTATTATCGACATCTTCATCTTCATCGAGTTCAAAAAAACCATCTCGTTCTTTGAGTGATGCCACATATGATCTACTCCAAACGGATAGGTTCTTCCCGTATCCTTGCTTGACAAAAACAGTGGGATCGATAGAGACGCAAAGTCCGAGTAGAGAAACCCAAAGAACATTGCTCCGAGAGAAAACAAAAATATCACATACTTCCCATCCACTATCATTTTCATGGTCTCAGAAACATTCTTGAACTTCTTCGCATTTCTTATCATAAACGTAGACAAAAGCAGCAGTAGCAGGCCATGGAATACATCCCCAAACATGCATCCAAAAAGCATCGGGAACGTAAACAACGTGAAAACCGCTGGATTCACCTCACCATATGAAGGAACCGCATATGTATTGGTCAATGCCTGGAACGATTCTGTAAAATCATTCGTCTTGAAGTACGTCGGAGGCATCTCTACACTCTCATTAACCTCAAAAGCAAACAGATTCGTTCCTTCTCCCTTAAACTCACCAATCTTCTTAAGCCTTCCGATTGTGTCTGACGGAATCCATGCTTCACCAATCAGGCAGTCTCTGTCAAAATCAAAATTGAGCTTGTTAAGCGTCTGGTATATTTTCATTTCCTTGTTCATATAATACCTCCATGTATTTGCAAGCTGCTTTATCTTTTCCTGCTCATTCATGATCGCCTCTTCGTTATGGCTTTCAATTTGCTGCATTTGACTTATCACTGCACTTAGTTCTAGTAGTCCCTTCTTGCACTCCCTGAACTTCTTATGGTCCAATATTCTCCCTCCCAGCGAAGAAAAAATATCCTTAACCTTGTCAAGCGCCTCTGCTCCATGTGCAAATACAATAAACACACTCTTGCACTCCCCATCCACATCCTTGGTTCTTATTACCAAGTTCCTTCTAAGTGCCTGATGCAAAACCTTCCTTATTAGGAACTTCTTGCTCCTTTCAACTATCCCCGTTATAAAATCAAGCTGAATCAGATGGGTCTCCTCAGTGACAGTCCCAACAAAGCTCTCTGTCTCCTCTAGCATGTACAAATCCTCCCTGAGCCTTGTATTGTTTGTGCTTGTTTCCCTCTTCATTGTCTTGAGCTGGATCAGCCTTGAGAAAAATTTGTTGATTTGCTGTTCAACCTGATCCACATCGCTGTGCTTGATGCTTTCGTCTATGTCTGGAATGTCTGCTGTTAGGTACCTCAGTCTTGAAACTAGTTTTTCCATGTGATTGATTTCACGGATGTATAGCAATTTTTCAGCCTTCAGATCGGCATTCAAGTCCTTGAAGTGTAGCAGTTCATTTTTGCCAAGCTCCGTTATTGCCTGCTTTGCCGTGTCTTTACTAAAGTAGATCGATACCAACTTCATTTCTTCGCTCCTCAACATGAATATATTTGTTTTTGATTGTCTTGGCGATAAGCAGGGATCGCTTTTGTTTACTTTGTTTCAGGCGCGGGCATTTGTTAAGGGACTTCGAATTGGCATGCCAAGATTTCCCCTGCTATCAAAAGGAGGCGCCCTAATCCGAGCAAACCATATGCAAGTGTATGTCTATATGCTCAATAGAAGGCATTGTATTGAGTAGGCTCTATTGATCGTTGTACACATGCAATTGGAGCACCCTTGCTATCCAAATGAGGAAAGAGCCTTCGGTGGGATGGAAAGACACCAGGCAGAGCAGCAGGCAAGGCGCAGCACTAAATAGAATTGAAAGGCAGAATGTTTCGAACATAGCCTTTTGGAATGCGGAGTACAGAAATCCTTTGCATTCAGAAAACAGCAGCGATGAAACAGACATGGATATGTTTTTTACATCTACCGAGCACACAGATGTTGCCATTGAGGTGGATTCGCAGGTGCACTCAAAGTTTGTGGTGAAAAAAATTGAAAGAAGCAGCACTTCTGTTGTTCTGATAGGAGATACGATTGAGTGCCATGTATCTGGTGAATGGTGTGATGTTGATTACAGGATCAACATGAAAGTCACAGTGATGAGATGCATGTGCTGCAATCATGAAGAAGATGCGTCTAGCATTGACTTTATTGGCGAGGATTTTGATTCAGACAGAGATGAAGAATGCTCTGCAAATAAGAGTGCCAACGAAAGAGATAGCATGTGCATAAGTGAAAATGGCGTTAATCAGAATACATGTGTATGCTCGCATGCAATTGCAACGAATTATCTTGATACAGAGCCAACGAAGCAGAAGGTGTATGTGAATGACGATGAAAACTATCTTCTAATCGAAGACGATCCGGTTTCTATTACAACGTTGTGCGAATTGCTCAACTGCAGAAATAAACATTACCTGAACAGCAAGGTTGCATCTGTAAGATTCAACCACATTGACCTCACGATACTGATAGGGGTAATAGCACACTCAGTTCTGCAGAATGCATTGATTTGCAAAAACTTTAGATCAGACTTTCTGATAATGCAAGCAAAGAAGGCGGTTTCTGAGAATGTAATATTGATGCACAGGTGTGGAGTGCATGAAAAGTATGTGCTTAACGAAATACTGAAGCTTATACGGAATATACAGCACTTTCAAGACTACAAGTTTGATGTTGTGGAAACGGAAAAGAAGCTTATGTCACTGCTGTTCAGCATAAAAGGGAATGCGGATGCGATTGGGCGGGATGCCGTTCTGGAGATAAAGACATCGAAAACTTTGAGGGCAGAGAACCGTGCACAAGTGATACTGTATTCGCTAATGTTACGAGAGAAGACAGGAAATGACTTTGCGCCTTATATTTACTACATTCCGTCTAAAGAGCTAGTGACTGTGAAGATCAGGCATTGCGAAGTAAGAAGTTTGCTCAGTATGAGAAACAGGATTTCGTTGCAGCATGGCTTGCAGAAGTGTGCTTGCAATGATGAAGAATGCAGGATTATTGGTGAGATAAACGCTCTAGATGATTTGCATTTTTTGAAAAGACAGTTGAATGCAATTGATGAGGAAGAGACAAAAAGCATTGGTGCAATGATCCCAATATCACTGAAGTACCAAAGTGGAAGCATTTTAGGGCTGCAAATTGAAGAAGGCTTTGCAATTCCAAGAAGCATACACCTGAGCATGTTTAACAAGGACATGGTTAGGATTTCAAGAGGAGTTGTGGAAGGGATGATTGAGGGTAACAGCATGCTTGTTAGGCTGAGTGATTGCATTCAACTAAGCAGGGAGAAGATGTATGTGTCGTTTGGAGATACAAATGTGTCTTTTAAGTTTATGAGGTTTTCTCTTATTCATGTTGCATATCCACGGTATTGCACATCTGAAGTGTTCAATGGGTTTTGCCTTCCTATGGAGAAATCTGTGTTGGATGTGAATGCAAGCAGTAAGACGGCGAATGAAGTCAATGGTAAACCGAATGGGAGCTTTGGTAAAACCTATAGCGAGGATGCGTCTGAGGAGTTTGATAATCTTGCATTCTATTCGGAAAATGATACAAGACTAAACGAAGAGATTGGCATAGAGGTAGATAAGCAAAGCACAGGCTGTATTAGTGCAGCCATGACTTCGTCTGCACACGCTCAAGCAAGCATGAATGAACGAGCCCAGATAAACTGCAATCGAGGGGTGTATTTTGCAAGCAGCCAGACCGATACTGAGAAGATATGCATACCTGAGCAATACAAGCATGAGTTTCTAAGGCTTAATGACGATCAACGCTCTGCACTATTTCTTTCTTTGAATTGTAAAAGCTATAGGATTATACATGGGATGCCAGGAACAGGTAAAAGCATGCTGATAACGTTGCTAATCAAAATACTTGTGCATTTTAAGAAGAGAGTTCTTCTTGTATGCTATACAAACCTTGCTCTGAAAAACATTGCAGAAAAACTAAAGGGAGTCAATGTATACATGGCAGGTAAGGAGGGCATGCGGTTTGAAAAAACAGATGATGCTAAGGTGTTTTTTGATAGCATAGAGCTTGTATGCGGAACGTGTTTTTCATTTTCTGACCCGGTTTATGTATGCAGAGAGTTTGACTTCTGTGTGATTGATGAAGGTTCGCAAATGCATTTGCTTCTGGCATTGATTCCTGTAAGCATATCTGAAAGATTTGTGATAGTTGGCGACCATTTACAGCTGAAGCCTCTATCCAAGAGCTCCAAGGAGCTTAGCCTGTCTCTTTTTGAGTACTTGCTTGGTGATGAATACTCAAAGCTGAGAATTCAGTACAGAATGGGTAAAGAGATCATGAGGCTGTCAAACACGCTGTTCTATGGGAATGAGCTGTGTGGAGGAGATCAGCCTTCGAAGGTAGAGTTTCTTAACACGGAGTATGTGGATATCATAGTGCTAATTTCGTCGCTTTCTAAATGCACGATTCTTTGCTACTTCAATGCGCAAGCCGATATGATAAGAAAGCATACATCGTGTGCTGTTGAGACAGTGGATAGGTTCCAGGGAAGCGAAGATGACAAGGTTGTTGTTGTTTTTGATCCTGTGTCTAGCTGTGAGGTGATGGAAAGCAGCGAACGGCTGAATGTTGCGCTTACAAGAGCAAAGAGGCATCTGATTCTTGTAGGAAATAGAAGCAAAATGGCAGAAGTGGAGATACTCAAAAGATTACTCGATGTTCTATGAAATGCTGATTGCAGAGCGTGGCCTGAGGTTACAGAATATCGGGATGGTGTTGTAGTGTATGATTGATTGAACGATCATGGGCTGAATTGTTTGTGTTATGAGGTGTGAAAATAACCCATAGAGACGAATGCTTTTTTATGAATTTCTGCAGTCGAATATCCGGAATCGTATTATAGTGGTGTTGAAGAACGGAGTGAGCATATCTGGCGAGCTTAGCAATGTTGATCCGTATATGAACTTGAGTCTTCAAGAGGTAAATGCTGCTGGGGAGTGTCCTGGGCTGAGTGGAGTTCATACGTGTTCGATCCGGGGATCATCGGTCAAGTATGTGATGATGAAAAAGAACGACAAACTGCTGGAAGCGTTGAATAGCGGAAGCAGGCTTAGGATGCTTTTTGATAAGTGTTGCTAGTGGTGCCTTAGCAGTTGAAAATAAAGACGATGTGAATGATACTGATTTATTTTTGAGTTTATGCCCTGTGCCTGCTTGAAGGATGAGTGGGATTTTAGTATGGGAGGAGGAGATTGCGATTATGAAGGCATTTACAGAGGGATGCTTGAGTAAGAGAGAAAGCCTGCCTATTTATGAGATTGTTTCCCAATATTCCAAGCATGCAGCATGCGAGGGAAGATCCAAGGCATGCCTGAAGATGGTTGTGAAGGCAATCAGATGTTTTATAGACAAGAGGGCAAGGAAGCTATATGATGCCAGTAGTGAAGAGGTTTCGTTAGAGCTTTGTAGAATTGACCAGCACTTGAAGGAAACAGAGAAGCTATTTGAGAGAGTGTTTTGGCCTGTAGTGGTGAACCGAAATATGTTTTTCAGCAGGATGTTCCGAAGACAGTTTAATCGGTTTGCAAAAAAAATGAGCGAGAGGATTGCAGAGTTTTTGATGCTGTGCATTGGAGACGGAACAATTGGCAATATTGATGAAAGGCATGATGCAGAAGCGAGTTTAAGCATCAAGAAGCAAAAGCTTAGCACCGGAGATATTGGAAAGTCCGGACTGCATAATTATGAGTGGTGTTGGCATCATAAGGACGGCAAGGAAGAGATTCATGAATCAAGCAAGAAGATGCAGAAGGTGATGGATGTTTTGAAGGGCAGAGGATGTTTTAAGATGTTTACAGAAAGTATTGTTAGGCATGTGTCTGGTAGATATAAGAGAATAGTAGAAGAGAAAAGAATGAAACTGTCTGAAGTGAGGGGATTTATTGATAGTCAAAGAGAAAGCAAGTATATCGCGGAGTGTTTCTATGAAGTTGAATCTGGATTGGTGAAGGGCCTGATATCAAAGATGCCTGATTGCGAGATATTCAGTATACTTGATGAGGAAAACGAGATGAGCTATTGTGTAGATTTTTTTGTTGTATCTGAAGAAGAGGCGAGATTTGTTGAGGTAGTGAACAAGTATTGTAACGAGAAGATGAATGGAGTCGGTGCTGATGATTTTGTGGGCTGCTATTATTGGATATGCACTAAACTTAAGATTATTGAGAATTACCGAGGCAGTAACGAAAGCATTATTGAGGGAATTAAGAGTTGCAAAAGAATGCTTGTTAACCGTGATTCTAACAATACTGCTAACGGAATATGCAGATGGACAGATTGGATACTGAAACAAGTGTCGTTTGAATGTGAGAATGTGAGTGAATGTTTTGGATGGATGTTTCCTGAATGCAAGCAAGCATGGAGGATAAATATGGAGGATGCTATTAGCAGTGTGTGTGTTCCTGGCGATGCCGAGCAAGGAAAGATTGTACTTGAGTGTATATTGATGGATGTTTTCCGGGAGATTGGAGAGGTGTTTCGATTTTGTGAAGACAAGAAAGGCCTCGAGTGTTCATTGCGCAAATACCTTGGGGAGAGGCTCTTATCTGGAGCAGATGTGTATGTAAATGAGGAGTTGATGCTTATTGATGCAATTGGAGTTTGTGCAGGAAATGTGTATGCAGATAAGATGAAGTGCATGCTGAAAGATTTTTGTGGGATCGAGAAGTTTTATCAGAATGATATTTTACTTCTGCGTGCATGCAAATGGCCTGAGTATGAAAGCTTTGATTTGGATATATATGAAGCGAATGAAGTTAAGGAGAAGTATATGCTGGAGGTGGTGAAGAGCGCAAAGAAAAGAATACACTGGAACGACCTGCTGTCTTCATGCGATGTTGAGATTCTTGGAGTGAGTGCCAGAATTTCTTTAGTGCAATACATGATCATCAAGTTGATAGCGGATAATAGCAAACGACTTAATGGACTTGAAATCTCTAAATTGTGGAAGAGCCATATGGAGCGACTGGTAGAGATAGGGCTTGTGAGTGTTGATGGGCTGAGCTATGGATTGAATTTTGATTGGAAGTGTAAGCTTGATTTTGTTTCTCTTGTTCCTGAAGGATGCCTGCTGAAGGGATTTGTAGAATCTCCAAAGATTATTGAAATGCCTGATTCGCTTAACGACATTGCGGACTGTAGAATAATGAAGGAGATGAAGGCCAGAAAAGAGGCAGAAAGGGAAAAACTTATAGAATTAATTGGGCAGGAAATACCGAACAGTCTGGTTGATGAACGAATTGCAAGCTTGGCCAACAGAGAATTTTTAAGCATCGATGGAGATATATTAAAGTATGTACCATGAAGCATAAGCCGTGTAAGCATCAATGGTTGGCTGAGCCAAAATAAAGTGTTTGTTTGTTATTTTTTGCTGATATTGAATTTTTATTTTGAGGGCATGGACCATGATGAGCAGGTTAGAATGATAACTGAGGAGGCAAAGTGTTCGTACAATGTTGCGAAAAGTGCATATGCGGAGGCAAATGGAGACATTGAGCGGGCAGTGTCCATCGCAAAGAAGAAGGGGAATGTTGTGTATTCAGGAGGAAGCAGTGGGCTTTATGTTGAGGAAAAGCCATCGGGGAAGTCAATAACACAATATAAAAATGGTGTTTTGGTGAATAACAAGTTCTACGACTTTTCAATTGATGATAATATCAGGCTCAAGCAAATGCTTACCGAAGGGGCATTTGACGCATCCTTGCTGAATGCTCAGGGAGATACAGCCGAGGTTATTTATCAGGAAAGACTAAATGAAGAGTATTGTGAGCCACGCAAGGAGGCATCTGCTGTTGGGACAGAACGCAAGCCTGGATCTTCGTTTGTTGGTGAAGGTAGAAGATTAGGAAGCTCAAAAAAATAAAACATGTGAATGATATGCTTGTGTGTTATTTTCAACATTCACACTCTCTGGTGTTTGCATTTGCCTCAGAAGCTTTGAATGCAGTAAAACAGGTTCAAAAAGATTGCATTTATTGATTTTCGATTTGAAAACTGTGTATGGCATTTTGTATTAACGTGCAAGTTCTGCAGATAAATTACTTTATTGCAACAATGCATTCTATATTGCGCCACTGTATTCAGCAGTTGTTATGTTTACATGGAGATATTTTCAGGATTGTATAGTGAAAAGGGGATTTTTATGCATGCATTTCTAAGCTCTGTAACATTTTTGGCATCGAATGGGAACGAAAGTAACTCAAAAGTCTCGCATGGAAACGGTAAGCTGGCATATACCATCTCAATCTCCTTATACCCTGTTTTCTCATGGAGTAGAATTCGATCCATCATCTGTACCGATGATATCCAAAGACTGTTGATGCATGGCACAAGCCACTTGTTATTATGAAACGTGTAGGCTTCATTAGACTCTCTATTAATGTCGGCATCCAAATCTATACGTGCATTGGCCACTTCTATAATGTCTTTTTCTTGAAGAATAGTGAGAATGCCATATATCCTAAGATATAAACTTGGAAAGTAGAAAGTGTAGCCTAATGCCTGAAGCATCTCATCTTCATAGCCAAATATCCTTTCTTTATTTGAATTGGGCAGTTTTCTAATCAAGGCATTCAGATCTCCATGGATTTCTTCGCATTTTGCAGCAAGTATAATGATTGCATATAAAATGTTGATCATTTCCTCATCCTTCGGTACAATCTTGTCGATTACTCTGTCGAATATCTGAATAGCCGTGCTTCTTACAGTAAGAGGCAAGCCTGTAGCAATACATGCATTCACAATATCTACTCTATGCTTCATTCTTTTTTCATTGCTACTCATCCTAGGGCTGCTTGATGATTGTTATATTGTGATCCAATTGCGATGAAATCTGTTTGCATCAATTTCTGTTCCAATCCCCGGCCGCTAACAGCGATCCACTCTGTATGTCGTTGGCACCAAATATGATACCAAAGCATGCAAAACAACAAATTGTTGGATAAAGTCGCCAAAAACAAGCAATCAGAGGACATTACAGCATTTATTTGTCCAATCAACACATTCATCTAAACAACATACAAACACAACTTATTATCAAACAGTTCTTATTCAACAACTCGTGTTTATTTCAATAACTTTCTCAGATCAGAATTCGCATCTCCTGCTTTTTTCAGAACCTTATGAACAGCCATTTCAAAGTCCTCTTGCGTCACATGGACCCTTCTTTCCCTTAATGCATACATTCCTGCTTCAGTACAAACTGCTTTAACTTCCGCTCCAGACGTCCCGGCCATCTTGTTTGCTATGGACTCGAGGTTAATTCCCTTTGTAAGATTCATCTTTCTTGAGTGGATCTTCAATATCTCAATCCGTGCAGATTCCTTGGGCTGTGGGAATTCAATCTTTCTATCAATCCTCCCTGTTCTTAGCAGTGCTGGATCCAAAATGTCAATCCTATTCGTTGCCATTATGACCTTGATGTTTTTGTGTGACTCAAACCCATCAAGCTGATTTAGCAACTCCAGCATCGTTCTTTGCACTTCGCTGTCTCCGCTTGCCTTTCCATCCATCCTTGCACATCCAATTGAATCTATTTCATCCATAAAAATAATTGACGGCGCATGCTCCCTGGCCATGACAAAAAGTTCTCTTACAAGTCTCGACCCTTCTCCAATATACTTCTGAACCAGCTCAGACCCAGAAACCCTTATGAATTTGCATTGCGTGTGGTGTGCTACTGCTCTTGCAAGCAGTGTCTTTCCTGTTCCAGGAGGCCCATAGAGCAGCACGCCCTTTGGCTGTGCAATTCCAAGATTCTCAAAAAGCTCAGGATGCTTTATTGGAAGTTCAATTACCTCGCGGATCTCCTTGATCTGCTCATCAAGCCCGCCAATCATCTGGTATGTTGAATCAGGAACCTTCTCGACCATCATAAGCGAAACAAGAGGATCCACTTTTGTCGGAAGAATCCTGTGAACATCATAGGAGTCACTTCGCAATGCAACTCTTACTCCAGGTTTAAGGTCATCATAGTTCACTGAGGATTCAACCTTCACCAAATATTTGCCATCGGGGTTTGTTTTGACAAGAACCTGCATTTTGCCCATCTTCTCTACGATCACTCCAACATTTGAGCTTGGCTCCTGAACAATTGAAATCTCCTCTCTGAGAAGCCTTACGCGCCGGTTAAGCTCTGCACGTTTTTGCTCAAGAACTTGCACTACTTTCATTTTCTTTGCCACAAGAACCTCGAGATGGTCTATCTTGTTCATGTAGAAGTTCTTACAGTATCCTCCCATTGATAAAGGGCATCTGCGTTTGCATTTTGATGCAACAAATAAATTGATTTGATGAACTAGCACGGACCCTTACATGCATATCAATAAACACACCATGACAATACACATAGACTGGCAATGCTTGTTACAATTGTCAAGAATAGTCAAACAAACAGCGATGTAAGCATGACACTTCCATCACGATCTTAAATCTATGCAGTATAAATTGCGGCTGAATTAGCTTAGTGGTAGAGCATAGCGTTGTGGCCGCTACGTCACGGGTTCGATTCCCGTATTCGGCACACCTTTTGCTGCTCATCATCTGCACGCTTACATCTTTGCATGTGCCATGCCTCACCAACTGTACTGCCAAAACACCAATCGTGCAAAACTATGATTGCATCATTTTGCCTTCTTTTAGTCTCCCAATACTCACATACATTCATCAAATCATATTCTATTTCGTCGCCACATAGATCATTTGCCACAAGCCTGCTAAACATTTGCGGTGTCACAAGCGGCACCAGATTGCACATCTTCATAAACAAAGTCTGTCTTGGCTGTGCTTCGGGCTTCTTTTTTCGGATTCTTGGACGATTGCTCAACCTTTTGTATCCAAAATACTTCAATGGCAAAACCTTGGCACTGTATTTCCACCTGCAAAGTGGATCATGATTATCGCAATACGACACTTTGTTGTTCATATCAAAGTAACACTTTTCAAGCGCACATGTAGCATGATACTTCCGACTACACATAAAATACGCACATCCAATCACTGTTCCATGTGCATTTGTACAGAATACACATCTTTCTTTCCTGACATAATCATCAACATCAATCGGCTCCTTTGCTGCTGGATGTGCAAACGAAAGCGTCTTGTTGAATTCTACACATAGCACATGCCCCCATTTGTTATCAGATGTCTGCTTCAAACACCCGTCTAATGATGGGCAAAACATGCATTTAGCCATCTGCCTGTAGTATATGCAGCTTCTACATATCCAGAAGTCGTTAATTTCTTGAACTCCATAGCAGTCCTGATGCATAGATACATTGCACCCTTGGCATACAACTATTGCACCGTCTTCCTCCCCACTGTGTGTGCATATACTACAACAATCAGCAGGCTCAATAGGATTCACATAATTGTTTATAAGCCTTTGAACAAACAGAAACCATTCTTTCTCAAGCCTGTCCATGATTATCTCGAATTTTTCTCTTGCAATTTTAGTGCTTGAATGGCCCAAGTATTGCATGTCATATCTATCAGAGCTATAAACAATCTCGTCAAATATCTGTGTATCTTTGTACTCAGGCAAATATTGTTTGTTGTTAGTGCACTGCATGCCTTCTAATGAACACAACGAAGTTTCAGGTACATTATCATGTACGCTTGGACAATCGCAAACAACCTTATGCTTTAAAAATATGTCCAGATCGCCATAAATGCTCTTATAGCTACGCTCTTCCCTCGGAACGTCATCTGTGTATCTGGGCACAGACATTTATGGGGATTGGGCGTCCCCATACGGATGGATAATTTTTTTATTCGCCATACAGAAAGAACATGCATTGGCACTGAAGAATGGATGTATAGCAAAGGCTATATAATGAAAAATGGTGGGATACACGACTTCACATGCAGAAAAGTTCTTGATGTTCCGTTTACTGTGAAGTATTTATATGCTTTGACATTTGAGTATCTACTGATCGACGAGTCGGATACAATATATCTTGCAAACAAAAGCACGCTTGAAATACAGGAGATTGGAAAAGTAAGTGGTGTAATTGTGCTTGTGAGTATTTCCAGAGACGAAAAGTGGTGTGTAGTTGTGACACATGCAGAAATACTTCTGTTTGATGCATATATTGAGTTCAAGAAATCTGTTAAAATGGAGTTTGATGGATTGATTGGCATTGAGTGGACAGATCATGATGATTTTGCATTGCTAACTGCAAACAGAGTTTATTTCTATGATATATCATTAAATATAGTCGGAAGAAGCAAGGAAAGGGAATATTCAGGAATAACATGGAGGACGAAGTATAACATTTTTGGATGTGCATCTACGGAAGGGATTGTTTTTGTCGAACCGAATGGGCTAGAGCATGGAGATATCATTGAAGAGGTCTGCGATGAAGTTTTCTTTGTTGAGGATCTTGACATTGTCCTGGCAATGAAGCATGTGCCTGAGGGATCGGTTTTAAAGGTGCTATACATGAAAAATTTCCATTGGTATCGAAAGTCGTCAATAGTTGTGCCTGGACGATTTGTTTGTGTGGAGCAAAATACGGTGCTATTCAAGGATAAGCAATACATGACAAGAGCATACATATTTGGCGAAAAGACGTGCTTTGGATCTGAATACTATGTGGTGGATGGAGCGAATGTGCTTTACACCGACTTTTCGAAAAGGATAATTCCTCCGCCTTTGTTTTCAAGGATGATTGAATGCGATGAGGAAGTAATTGATGTATCTGCACATAAGAATGGAGGAGTAATATTACAGTTGAGCAAAATGAAGGTGTTTAGTATTTGTGAAACAGAATACAGAGAAGAAAGGGTGTTTCCACTGGACAAGAGATTTGATTTTGTTGTTGCTTTTGATAGATTTGTGGTGTTGAAGCGTGGCAGTGAATTTGTTTTTAAGTCGGTTAATGGGGAATACGAGGTGGAGATTGATGTAACAAGCATTGTAAATGATAAGATAAGAACAATAGAGTGTAAAGAGGAGATCCAAAGGATTGTAAAATGCCTGGAAGTGGCGTTGAATGAGTATGGGGCTTTGAATATAGCAAAGATGTATAATCTCAATGAAAAGCTGTGCATGGTACTTCATGATGGAAGGATTATTTATGATGGAAGAGCTGAAAAAGCTATTATAGATATAAGGCTGCGATTTGAAGTTGGGGTTGATAATAACGGAGCAATTGTTGTTCACAATGGATCAACACTATCACGCGAAGGGATCTTAGAGCAGGGAGTGGATTCTTTTATACTAGGAGAGTATGGAATGGCAATCACGATGGATCGAGCATGCAAGATAACCTGTGGAGTGAATGAAAGCACTTTTGAAGTTGATCAAGGATTGAAGCTGCTGTGCATGCCCAAACCGAAGCTGATTGGCGAAACAAGGCATGGAACTCTTGAAACCTTTATGCCGAAGATATATAGCCTAGCAAGCGTGGAAAAGATGATAGAGCTAGGAGAGTATGAGGAGGTTGTTGCGAAGTGCCGTAGACGTGTTGTTCCGTTTTCCATTCTAACAGGCCATCGGATCGATCTTAGAAGGCTTGTTTTATGCTCAACAAACAATGATTTGGTGTGCTTTTTTAATGAAGCTTTCGGAAGAATGAATGGCTTTGAGTTTATACTGGAGAATGAAAAGATTAAGAGATTGCGAAGAGTGGTTAATTGCGACACAGTAGTTAGCTTTTGGAGGGAGAAGATGCATGGCAGGCCTGATAGGAGCATTAAAAGAGAAGATTTTGATGTGCGCAATCGTCTTAAAGCACGCTTTGAGGAGATGATATGTAATGACGGGGCAATCGGACCGAGTTCGATAGGGCATCTTATTGGAGAGATGTGTGATAATGAGGTTGCTTGTGGAGGGAATCGGTCTGAGAGTAAAGGAGACATATGCGGCAGGAGTGCAAGTGTATTTTTGAACGAGCTCCTGTCTGCTCTGGATCTGGAGTACAACTTTGAGTTTGCTATTTTTTTGCTAGTGAAAATGAAAAGAATGGACCTAGCATTTAGAGTTGCAAAAAGCAATATTCAAAAAGGTGTAGAGTATATGCTGACGATTACTACGGTAAAAAATGTGGTTGAGCATGCAATGAAAACATGTGATGAGAACTTAGTGGTTGATGTAATGAAGATGTGCAAGAAGGATGCATCTGATGTTATAGATGTGATACGTGGAAGCTCTATAGAGATGCAGCGATTCCAAGTAAATGAGTACTTTGAAAGTAGAGTGGAGGCTCTTTATTATCTTAGCAGGTATGGAACAGAGGATGCAGAGGAAGAATACATCAAGAGGCATCAATTGATAGACGAGGCATTGATATACGAAGTATGTGGAATAAGTAATAGGAGGTTTGGCTTTTATTATGAGATTTGTGCAGAGATGTGCAATGCAAAGGATGCATATATTCTTTACTTAATGGCAACGAATTTCAAGATGGGACTTGATACTGCTGTAAATAATCTGCTTTGGAGAGAAGCAGTATTGATATACAAATATATGGTTCAGGAGAACGAAGCTGGCAGTGCATACGAGCTGAATGATGTGTTTTACGAAATGCTTGCAAAGCGATTGATAGATTCTAGCATGCATTTTGAGGCAGGCCAACTGATTGAGGAATGTATCGGAGATAAGCCAAGAGCATTTGAAGAATATGTCAGAAGCAAAAAGATGCGAGATGCATATAGAGTATGCACGAATGGCAATGATATCAAAAAGGAGGCACGGAAATGTCTTTTGGAGAGTTTACTGGATCTTGAGGATATAAAAGAGTCGTTTATAAAGTACACTACTAGATTCAGGTCTATTGAAGAGCGAATCGATGAGCTTTTAAGCGACACATCATTTAGCTATACCGAAGAAGGATGCAGAAGCAGAAAGCTTAGGAGCAGGCCTGGGGGGAGATATGAAAGAGAATTTGTCATGAACAAGATTCGAGAAATTGCGTTGGAGCTGATGAAATGGAGAGACAGTACCGAAGATCTTATTGCTATATTCAAAAATTTTGGAATGAACGATTGCATAGAAGCCCATGATAGCTCGTTCATTGAATTAGGAAAAACGATTGCATCAGAAATAGAACTAATATTTGAAGATAGCAAAAGGCAGCTCTATGATAAAAATCGGCCGATTGTTGAAAAGCCGGACATGAGCAGGTGGATATGAACAGACAAAATACGTGTTATGCTGAATTCCCAACAGGCATTTACTTTACTAGGATGGCTTTGTGCCATTCATGTTTATATTATATCATAATAAATATCTATCTTCTAGCTTATGTTTCAGAAGTATAAGAAAGAGATGCGTAGAGGATATTTCTGGCCATAATGGCTTTGCAAAGAAAACAGAAGTACCCTGTGCAACCTGACGAATCATAAAGTCGCTAAGCCTTTTTTCATTGCCTGTTCTGATGAGAAGATCAACATTATTATTGAATTTGATACCCTGAATGATTTCGTCCTCTGCAGAATATGCAAAGAAAATGTTGACAAGTATATCTTGATTAAACTGTGTTTCATTCTGTATGAGAATAAGCTTATCTCTTATGTCCTCCTTAACAAGATCAAGTCTTCCATAAACCATTATTTTTGCCTTGATTCGTATGTTTTTTTCCTCTGGGGATTTGAACTTGTCTCTTATGATGTTCATGATTCCATCTACTTCACTGCTCTTTCTCTTGAAGTTCTTGATTGCAAAGCAAAAGAAAGAAACTTCTCGAATATCATAGGTGTATGCAAATTGAATGAGTTCATAAATCTTGTCCAGCCCATCATCTCTCTCAAATGGATCTCCAAGCCCTTGCTTCTTCATATACCTCCGGTTTCCATCGCAGATAAACGCAATACTCATTCCCTGAAAGATATTTATTATGCTACGATCAATTGGTTCATGAGCGCATCTTTTTGTATGGCTTCGTGCCCTGAGAAAAGTACAGCTGCTTATAAATGCGAAACCTTGCAAGATAGAAAGGCAACATTGAATAGCCCATAAAATGCAGTTTATAAACCTGATTACATAGTGGCTATTGACAGAATACTCAATTGCTTGTGAAGCACACATTGCAACGACCTGCACAGTAGACATAGCAGTGCTCTTCATGAGAGGGGCTTTTGCAAAATAATAAGGTTGGTTTGAAACTCATTTACTGTGAATGGCCTTGGATTAAATAAAGTCTATGGAGTTTCTATCTAGCCTTTCTACTTCCAGCTCAAGTTTGTTTCTTATACTGCTTTCTCTATTTCTTTGATTGAGTAGTTCATTGTTTTTTACTTTCAACATGTTGTATATTTTCTCGAGTTCTTCGATACTTCTCTTAATTTCTTCTGATCTCGACTCTTCCAACTGAAGCTCTCGGATCCCCATATCGTGCTCCTCGTCGTACTTCCTTATTCTGTCAGTAAATATTTTTTCTTCATCCTCAAGAAGAGCCAGCTTTGATTTTTGATCATCAATCATCTTTGAAAGCTTAAGCAGCTCGTTTCTTGAGATCCTGATCAGTGCAAGGGTTCTTCCGCGCTGTATATCAACCTCCTTCTTGTTGATTTGCAAGTTCCTCAGGTGATTGCGCTTGGTGTGAAGCTTTGCTATCATAATGTCTTTTGACTTCTGAACATCTTGGATTTTTTCCGACACTTGGTCTATTTCCTGCGAAATTTTGTCTATACTGCTTTGCAGCATGTTTTCTTTTTGCTTGCTTTGCGCCATCTTCAGGCTGATCACCGACTTTCTTGACCTAGGCTCTTCATCAAGCATTCTTCTGATTATAGATGTTTCAGGCCCTTCATCTAATCCATCATCAAGATACTCATCCAGTACATTCATCTTACTACTGCGAAATGAGAGTGGAAGATACGACTCTCCGCCAGGCTTCTTGGCATCCACAGAAAATGCATTTGCATACTCATACGCTTTTGGACGTAAACTCAGCCCGGTAAAATCCATGCCTAAGGACTGATCGCCTTCTAACAGGTTTGTGCTATTCAACGAAGTGTTTTTATGCTTTTGGATACCATATTCATTTGCACGATTGCCACTTACAGCTCCAGAGCCTCCTCCATGGAATACCCTGGCGGCAGGTGACGAAGATCTCGCTACAGACTCCCAACTGCTATTTATGCTTTCGTTTGTATCCTTTAAGCCGTCACTGAAACCATTGCGGCGCATGATGTTGAATCTTTCATCGATGCTGCTAATTGGCTTTCTTGTGCCATTAATATTTGCCACTATAACAGTGCCTTCATTGTTTTTTGCAGTGGATTGCAAGACATCAATTGCTCTTTTTACAATCTCTGGATCACGTGTTTTCTTGTCAGTAATGCCAATGTCATCGACGACGACTATCTTTGAAATGCATGAATGCAGCATCAGCATTATAGCCGGAACCATTATTTTGTTTATTCTGATGCGGATTATATTGGCTTCTGGTTTCAAGTGAAGAGCCAGTTGGGCCAGGAGTATAAATAAACATTCAAGCAGGGAGTAAATCGGCACGTGCTTGTACAGCCCTAAAATGAAAAGAGAGGATTTGGAGGAGATACAAGCAATTTATGCAAGTTACGGAGAGGTTTTTGATCTAAATAACGTTAATGGCCGAAGTTTGGATATGTCGAGATGTATTATTGACATACAAAGCACCTTGTTTGGGTATCCGGAAGTGAAGAACATGCATTTTCTGGTGGAAGAGTGTATAAGCCAGGCAATAGGTGATATTAGAAGCCATCAAGGCGAAGGCGAGAGTGATGTGCGTAGGACTGCAGAATGGACATCAATAGCAAAGAATGTCAAGAAAGTTCATTCAGCAATTGAGAAGTATGACTCTGTACAGGCTGCGCAATGCCGCAAGATCAGCACGATATGTGCCAGAGAGCTGAGAAGGGGGCTTTCGAAAACGTCGAAAACAAACCCGGCTCTTAAGTCAAAGAAGATATTCAGAGAGCTGTCAGGCCATATTAAGAAGACGGAAAAGAATATCAAGGATAAGACGAAGAAGGCCGAGAAGGCCGAGCTTGAGAGGAAGAAAAAGGAGATGGAGGAGAAGGAAGAGCAGAGGCAGAAGAGAAAGTTTGAGTATTTGCTGAGCCAAACAGAAATATTTTCTCATTTTATTCTTAAGAAGAACAAGTGCAGCAGCACTGCAGAAAAGGATGATATTGAGGAATACGAGGATATGCGTGGATACGAAGCAGCGATTCTTCAAAAGGAGAAGCTGAAGGAGTTTGACTTGGATATACCGTCTAAGAAGTACAAAGAAGCAAAGGCAGATGAGGAAACGAGGTATGTATCACAGCCAAGCATTTTAGTATGCAAGCTAAAGGACTATCAGATCAAGGGATTGAACTGGCTGGTGAGTTTGTATGACAAGGGGATTAATGGGATTCTGGCTGATGACATGGGGCTGGGAAAGACGGTGCAATCGATTTCTTTACTTGCATATTTGTATGAGACGGAAGGAATATCAGGACCGTTTTTGGTGGTTACTATTTCGTCTACTCTTGACAACTGGGCACAGGAGTTTGCGAAGTTTTTGCCGAATTTCCGAATATGCCGGTTTTCTGGATCACCGAGCGACAGGAAGGAGTTGAAGAAGCGATTCAAGGATTGCGATGTAGTGATTACGACGTATCAGACAGCGGTAAGTGATGAGAGAATGCTGAGGAAGATCAAATGGCAGTATATGATTCTTGATGAGGCACAAGCAATCAAGAGCAGCTCATCGCGAAGATGGAAGGTGCTTTTGGGGTTTAAGGCGCGAAACAGGCTTCTTTTGACAGGAACGCCTATACAGAATTCGATGCAGGAGTTATGGGCGCTTTTGCATTTCATAATGCCAACTCTCTTTGACTCTTTGAGTGAGTTCAGCGATTGGTTCAGCAAGGATATTGAGGCGTCTGCAACTTTGAGAAAGAGTGTTGATGAAAAGTCATTGCAGAGGCTTCATGCCATTTTGAGGCCTTTTATGCTTAGAAGGCACAAGTCTGATGTGATGCATGAGCTGGGGCAGAAGACACAGATTGATTTACAGTGTGAACTGAGCTACCGGCAGAAGGAGCTATACAAGGAGATTACAAGGTCGTGCAATAGTATGGAGATGGAGAATTTATTGATGCAGCTAAAGAAGGTATGCAATCATCCAGATCTTTTTAAGAAGCTGGAGCCCACATGTGGATTGAGTCTTGAGGTGAGTGATGGAATAGGCCATGCTGTTGTATTTGGACGAAGCAAGATTAATGTCAATGTTCCGAGCCTTATAGCAAACGATGTTGTTGAGATGTGCCATAGAAAGGAAATAGAGCTGATGAATAAGATTAAGAGGATAAGAATGCTTTTTAGAGCGGGGGAGTGTGAGAATTGGTACATAAATCAGAGCTTGGACTATATGTACAACAGAGATGTGCTTAGAAGTGCTAATGATGTTTGGAGCAGCATATTGAAGAAGATGGAATGCATGGAAAAGGTTGTGATTGAAAATGAGATATCTAAGCTGATTTCTGAGGAAAAATTCTGTATGCAAAGATACATTTGTTGTATAAGCCCGGTGATTGCAACTGCACCAAGGCTTGTTTCGAGCAAGGTGCTTCTTCCGCAACTTGATGTTGAAGGGCTGTATGTGCCATTAGATATGACGATATATATGCCACCTCTGAATACATTTATTAGTGATAGTGGAAAGCTTGTTGTTCTTGACGAGCTACTGCCGAAGCTGAAATCTGAGGGACACCGGGTGCTGATTTATTTCCAGATGACTAGGATGATAGACTTGATAGAGGACTATCTTGTAAAGAAGGGGTATAGCTATCTGAGGCTAGATGGTAGCCTAAAAGCATCTAGTCGTGCCGAGGTGATCAAAGATTGGCAAACGAATGATAGGTTTATATTTTTGCTGAGCACTCGTGCAGGAGGGCTGGGGATTAATCTGACGGCAGCAGATACTGTTATATTCTACGACAGTGATTGGAATCCAACGGCTGACCAGCAAGCGATGGACAGGGCGCATAGGCTGGGCCAGACACGAGACGTTACTGTGTACCGGCTTATTACAAAAGGAACAGTTGAGGAAAGGGTGCTTGAGAGTGCGAATAGAAAAGATGAGATTCAGAAGATGGTAATACATGGGAATGTATTTGAAGGAGAGAATTTCTGAAGCAAAGGATTGGTCAGAATGCATGTATATGATTGAATTAGAGCCAATAAATTGATTGATGCGAATGCATGTCCAATTCTTGATGACCAGGACTCCTTTTGAGCAAAGGAAGATATCTTACGCTCATGAGCAGTGCTTATGAGTTTTCTTGACAACTTAATTCTTGGATCAAGCACGCCGAAGTATACAGACGAGGTTTTTTTCCCATCGAAAGCATATGGTAGAGTGAGATGCAGTAAGAAGCATTGCACAGCAATGTGCACGACGAGATCTTATGCTGAATATGAGTTTTGGGCATACGTATTGTCTGAAAAAGACGTTGATATGAATGAGGTTCGGAGTAACATATATCGAATGGACGACGGATTGAGGTTTTCAGTATGGACTAAGTGCAGTGGAAGTAGAGAGGAAGGTATGGAGTTAGAGAATATAAGGCCGTGTGTTCTAGATGTGAGTTCTGATGCAGGAGACGTGGCTGGTTTTGAAGAAGTTGACTTTGGAGAAGACATGGCGATTATCAAGTATATTCTCGAGATATGCAAAAGTTCTGACGAAAGCAATGAAGAGGCGATATTTAGCATTTTCAAGAATGTAAGAAGGAGATTTGCCGGCATCTATGATGCTAAGCTATTGGCCTTGGTAATAAAGCATGTTATTGAGCTACCTTATGCCACGGCTAGGCTGGTGTATAAGTTTATTTGTTCGATGGCTCTGCATCATAATCTGAACGGGATATTTGTAGCGCATGGTAACAGCAGTGAGTGCATAGGAGCAGTTGGTGGTGGGAATGATGCAGAGATGCGTTTGTGCTTCTGGAAGATGTTGATATCAAAGTATCCATTATATTTTAACTATGTGATTGATTTTGTCGTATGCAACAAGGATATAGACATGGCAAGTATACCGAATGCGATATGTAAGTATCTTAACAGCGATAATATTGAAGATTGGATTGATTTTGTTTCAATTGCATCAAATATGAATAAGCTTGTGGATGTTTGCAGTATTTATAAGCAGGAAGGAGATGCTGTGCATAATGCCAACATGGATGAAGAGAGATATTTTGATTTTTTAGTTATTCAAAACGAAATGATTAAGGCGCAGGAGAAGTTAAAAAAAGAAGCCGATGAGAGGATCAGATGCTTACTGAATGAAAGGGATGAGCTTCTTGCACAGAAGTCAAGTTTAATGGAAGCATGCAAGGTGTTGGAAAAGGATCTTAAGGAATGCCAGGAGAGGTGTGTAAGTAAGGTTAGAGAGATATTTTTTGAGGCAGAAAGTGAATGTGAAGTGTACAGGAAAGGAACGGTGGAGCTGAAGAAGATGTTTTATGAAAAAGCAAGCGAGTGCCAATGGCCTTGATTAAAGTAGATGTTTATGCAATGTGTTTTATTGATTAGACGTTTGTTATGAAGAAGTGTTTAATATTAAAGAGGGATTCCCTCGGGATTGTATGTATGTAAAGAAGATGAGGCTTAAGAATGTCCAGAGCTTCAAGTCTGAAACAGAATTGGATTTTTGTGAAGATGTGAATGTGATTATTGGAAAGAACGGAAGTGGAAAGAGCAGTATTGTGTCTGCCATTCGATTTGTGATTTGTGCGGATAATGGAAGTGTGGAGCAGAATTCAGATTTTATTCATGAGGGAAATGCTGTTAGTGAGGAGGAAGCTGAAGTTGAGATCGTTTTTTGTGAGTCTATGGGAGAAGAAGCTATGGAGCGGGAGATTAGTGTCCGAAGAACAATAGGGATGAAGAAAGAAGAGTATTGTGTTAATGGAAAGGTTGTTGGCAGAGAAGAATTTGTTGGATTTTTGCATGAGAATGGAATTCTTACTGGCTCAAGTACGTATTTTATTGTTGCACAGGGAGAGGTTGCAGCACTTGCTACTTTGGGAGATGAAGGCAGGTATAAATTGCTGAAGAATGTTTGCGGAGTGGCTTGCTATGAAAGGGATAGAGAGGCGAGTGTGCGTGAGCTTGAGGATACAAAGCAAAATGAAGCAAAGATAAAGCTGATGGTATGCAGGATTGACGAAAAGCTCCGAGGCCTTGAGAATGACAAAAAGGAAATAGAGCTGTGCAATACGCTAGAGAATGAGAGAAGAAGGCTAGAATATGGATACATTGAGAGAGAAATACGAGAGATCAATGAAGAGGTTTTACGAGTGGAAAGTTTGATAGCGAATGAATATAGAGAGTGCTCTGATGATGAAAATGACTATGGCATTGAAGTCAAGGCGATTGAAGATAAGATAAAGATTCTTGCTGATACAAGAAAGGGGCTGAGTATAGACCACAGGTATAAAGGGAAGGCGACGGAAATTGAGAATGGAATATTTAATGTTGAAGAAAAGCGAAATAAGTTGAAAGAGAGGCATGCAGCAGAAGAAGAGCAGCTTTTGAAGTTTAAAGAGGAAGAAGCACAAAATTTTACACGATCTGTATGTGCCAAACATCTTATAGGATTTTTAGGTACACTAATGAATAAGAAGATAAGCCTTGAGGATGTAGAGGCAGCAAAAGGTATGCTGTATATCAAAGTAAATGAAACAAAAAAATGCAGAGAAGAAGGAGCTTCGAATAGAAATGTGGTGGAGAGAAAGCAAGCTCTCGAAAAAATGGTTGAGAGGAGAAAGTATCTTTGGAGAGAGGAGAAAAAGCTAGAGCTAGCAAAGAAGTCTATTGATGAGATGGTGAAACTGCATGAAAGTAAGCTTTTTCAGATGGTTGATGCTAGAGTGGATGTATATGAAAGTATAAGGGATGTGAATGGAGTTCTTGGGTATGTTTATGATTTAGTAAGTATACCAGATGAGCTTTTGGATGCATTTGAAGCAGTAGCAGGAAATTCGCTGTTCAATGTTGTTGTTAAGGATGAAGAAGTTGCATCGAGATTATTGAAAAAGATTGAGGGGATGAAGTTTAGAATGACGTTTATGCCATTGAACAGGATAGAGTTTAAGGATGAGAATGAGATAAAGGATCCAATGGTTATTTCCTTGGCATCGAAGATAAAGTGTGAGCCAAGATACAAGGCGCTGTTCAGGCATATAACACGTGATGCGTATTTTTGCTCTGATTTGAAGCAAGGAGTCTATGTTTCGAAGAAGCACAAGATCAATGTTGTTACTATTTCTGGAGATGTGATTAGTAAGGATGGGCCTATTAGTGGAGGGTATGAGAAGAAGAATGGGGCGCTTCGGGAGTATAAGAGGATCAGTAAGGAAGTTAAGAAGCATGAGGATGAATATAGCAAGATACAGCAAGAGATTAAAAAGATTGGAAGGGAGATTGATGAGGCAAAGCTTGTGATTGATTGTGGAGATGCTGAAAATAGATCGAGTGAGGTTTTGAATGGCACAGTAGAGTTTCTTAATGAGAAAGTGAAGGTATTGACGAAGATGGTAGATATGAGCTGCGATGATTCTAGAATGGAGATATGCAGGCGACTTGAAAGGCTGAAAGTTGATGAAAGAGAGATATTGATGAAGAGTAACTGGTTTATGGTTGAGATTGGAAAGATGGAGGCAAGGCTCAGGGAAACAGAAGCCGAAATGAGGAGGATGAATGAAACTATGAAGAGGCTTGAGGAGAATCTTAGTAAATCGAAGATGCATGATGAAGCACTAAGGATTGATAGTAGAATTGCAGAATTGCGAGAAAGAGAAAGGATTATAAGGGAGAAGATGTTCGATCAGGAGAATGAAGATATGGATGTTGATGCAAAAAGAGTGAATGTGGAAACAGAGGTGCTTATGAGGAAGAAGCATGTGCTGATAGGAAAGAGGAATGAGCTGTGCATGAAGATAGGTGCATCGGATTTCAGAAACCTTGAGTGTTTGTATCCTGAGAAGAGTAAAGAAGAATTTGTGAGTGAGATATTGCGGATAAATGAAAGGATTCGAGGATTTTGTATGATTAGCAAAAAAAGTGTGGCACAATGGGAAGATTATAGCAATCAACGAGATACAATTAAGAAGAAGCTTGAAGAGCTTAGTTATGATCGAGAAAAGATTTTTGAGCTTATATGCGAGCTTGACATGAAGAAGGAAAAGACTATGAAGCTTGCGGTGTCAGAAGTAAAGCATGTGTTTTCTGAGATATATTCAAGACTTACTGATGGGAAGAAGGGCGAGCTTGTTGAGACGGAAGAAGGGCTAGGAGTTAAGATTGATCGGGCGATGGATGATGTTAACTTGCTAAGCGGTGGGCAGAAGGCAGTTATAGCGCTATGCCTGATGTTTAGCATGCAAAAAGTATACAAATCACCGTTTTATGTATTTGATGAGATTGACGCTAATTTAGACTCACAGATACGCGAGAAAGTATGCATGATGATAAAAGAGATGAATGAATGGCATAAATGCCAGTTTATTATGGCTAGTTTTAGGAAAGAGGCTCTTATATGTGGAGACAAATACTTTAGTGTAGAGTTTAAAGAAAAGAAAAGTAGTGTAGCGCAAGTATCTAGAGAGTTAGCGTATGAGTTCTTAAATGATAGTCCAGATGGGAATTAGCTTTTTGATTGAGTTGATAACTTGCCTTAGCTTGGAATCTGCGGTAGAATGGAATATACATCCTGAACTTGAAAATTGCGTCTTCTGAATGGTTCTACAAACATTTGCTTATGAAAGTGTATTTGAAGGAATACTATGTCCTGGGCATGCCGAATGAATTTGTTGAGCCTTTAGATTTAGCAAAGAGATTGAGAACAAAGATATGCACACCAGTAGATATACTTAGAAAAGTAAAATGCATGATAACACCTCTCAGCATAAATAGAAGCGATGTTAGAGAAATACAGCGATTATCAAACTATTTATATCTCATTTCTACTAGGAACAAAATATTTGTGTCTCTGGTGTTTAATATGGACATGGCTGATCAGTTAATTGATTTTAAAACGATTATTATTCACAAAGTTTATGAAGGAATATATTATCATGTGGATGTTTGCTTATGAATAATAACGGAGTAATAAATGATATTTTGTTGACGCAAATGAAATTTGATACTTTACCCTGATGCTAAAGGATTTGATTGATGAAGATGAGTTTTGTAGGAAGCTTAGAATAGCCTCCGAGAATGATGCTGAAGATGGATTTTATATGATATTTTATAAACTTCTTATGGATCCGTCGCAACAGCTCCTGGACAGTCTTTTATCAAGCTATCCTGTACAAGATGTAGTGAATGGTTTAAAACATCTTATAAAGTTCAAGCTTTACAGACTTACTAATGACGTTTCTGGCAACCTGATCAATATTGTTGGCATGATGCTGGCCTATGAAGATAATGTGGATACATTGGTTGTGAATCTGCTGCGACATCATTTGATAGAAGAGGTTTTTTCGATGTATAAGGTTCATCCAAAGTACTTTGCTGGTCATCCCGTGTCTCTAATGTTTCTGACGTTTTTTTGTACGCAAAGCACTATATACCGGACGTTTTTTGATGCATCTGATTTTCAATCGAGGGATTTTCTATTTGTGCACATCAAAGAGATGATGGAAGATCAAGGTTCTGAGGCTTACATAGGTAAGAGATTCAAGAAGAATGCCTACAGGCACGACTTAGACCACCCATCCTTTCCGTTTATAGATTATTTTTGTTCAAAAAGACTTCTCCATGTATTATTTACAGCCACACCATTTAATATGCTTTCTTCTCAGCTTTCTGTGGAGCTCGAGATGAACATAATGTTTGTTCTTGAGAATGTGCATGGCATTAATTTTGATTTTTATATGAATCTGCTTTTTAAGGATTACATAGGCAGTGAAAAAGAAGCATGCAGAGTTTTGAGATTTATTGCAAACATTCCGTGTGCATTAAGCATATCTAATGTAGCTGACAGTATATTGAAGAGATATCCATCGTCTTTTGTTGCATTGATATATGACTTGATGTTTTGGAACAGCAGAGACAAGATCAACCAAAACCTGGCAGATTACCTGAAAGGGGTTGGCAACGAATGCATGCGAATGGCAAATCCTTTGCTAAATGAATGGCAATCTCTGAGATATGCGATTGACACTATTCATAGGAGGCATCAGCCGACTAAAGAATCGATATGTAGGATGATACACGGGCTCGAGTTTGATAGGTATTACGAAATGGTCCGAGAAATGAGAAGAAGCAGCATACCTATTATACCAATTGAAATGTATGATAAAATAATAAAAGAATCTTTCGAGTGGGATGGATATGCACAGGTTTATTTGTGGAAAATATTTGGATTCCAAAAGATATACTTTGGATTGGATGTTGGTGATGCAGGCGACAAAGAAAGAAGCATAGAAGCAATAGAAGGGCTTGAAATAGTCAAAAATCTATGCACATTGATATAATACATTATTTATACTGCTTTTACTGCATCCATCTTCTTAGTTGGTTAGTTTTGCTGATTGCTATTAAATCGTTCTTATACTTTTGAATTTCCAGTAGATGTTTTTTCAAGAGCCATGCGTCATCAATATGAAGATTTCTAAGGCTGACTAAGTAATTCAATTTCACAGTGTTATACTGAACATCAAGTGCATCTATAATTGACTTATGCTTGTATGCCTTCCATCTATATATTGCATATCTATGCATTTTTATCTTTATGTTTTCCAGAATAAGTTCCTCAGTGTGAGTCAGATCTGTAAAAGCAATATTCAAAAACAATCTATAGAAGTCTTTTGATGTACAGTCGATAGGCACACCCAGAAACTCGAATCTTTTGACATCTATCTCACTGATTGCTTTTGCATTTGTATTTGCATATATTTCAGTGAGTTTATCTGATTGTTCTATTGTATGCATCAAAAGTGCATATTCAACAACTATAGACATTTTTAAGTCAATCTGTGCAGGATGAAGATGCCTAAAACATCTTTTGCACAGTAATCCTTGAGTGTTTAGATCGAAATCACAAAGTAAGCATTTCATTCCACATTGCTGTATTCTAAGGTAATTCAGAACTGCTTCAACTTTTTCACGGTTTCTGTCGATCTTGACATTTCTCAGCACGATGAATGCACTTGTCCAATCGATCATCATCTGCATTATTTGCCAGCTCCGAAGATACGGATATGTCGTTTTATCAATGGTTTCAACAAGGTGTTTTAGAGATCATATCCACACAAATGCAAGGTTTTGTACATGTTTCACAAATAAACTACAGCAGAGCACTTTAATCAATTTTTTTAGCATCTTCGGCATCTTTCTTTTTGAATTCGTTCTCTGCGACTGTTTTTACTGCATCCGTAGCTTTCCTCACTGCATTTTCAATCCCGCATTGCCCTGTATACCAGTGCTCAGGTATTCGGATCAGTATGTTGTCATACAGAACCAATCCTGCTTTGAACCTTAGCGGTCCAGCCCACAGCACGAAAAAGAACTTCATTGTATACCACAGGGGAACAAATCGAAGTATAGGGCCTGAGTATGCATCTAGAGATGTCACTATTCCAAAAATCATCCAGAAAACAAGCATGTGCTTTATCTCCTCTCTCTTTGGGTTGACTTGCTTCAGTATCACAAGCGTCTCTTGTAAAGGAATAGCAATTCCAATCGTTGATGTCACAATGGGCCCAAAGGGTGTTGCCATAATGATAGCAATACAAAACAAGCATGCACCAAGCAATATGTAGGTCTTGTCTATTTTTGTCAGATCCTCAAGTCTTTGGAGCACAGGGATTTTGTTGGCTTGTTTCCTAAGGCACTCCATTTTCAGGGTTTGATTACAAACAAACATATACAGTATTTATCTTTATTTGTTTTCAAAACAAACTGCTGGGCGATAGATTTCATGAATAAATGCATAAACTAACCATGCAATACAAGTGTTCGATCAAATTCATATGAATGGGTCAGACTGCTGCTGTGTTCATGATTTTGTTTTTGGCTTTCCCATCAAATGCATGAGACTTTTATGGACATGGCATTTCAAGAAGCTATCAAGGCATTTGACTTGCAGGAAGTTCCTGTTGGATGTGTGGTTGTCAAAAACAACAAGATCGTATCTTCTTCGCATAACATGACCAATGCTAACAGATCACCTCTTGATCATGCCGAGGTTCTTTGCATCCGAAGCACAGATTGTTCAAATAGCACATTCTACATCACATGCGAGCCTTGCATTATGTGTATGGGAATAATATCAAGGCTAAGCAATGTAAAAGTATACTATGGATGCAAAAACGAGGTGTTTGGCAGCAAAACTATATGTGGCGTCGGAGAAAATACCACTTATATCCCAGACGAGCGCTGCTTCAGGATTCTGCAGAATTTCTATGCACGAGAAAACATATTTGCCCCAGAAGAAAAGAGAAAAGCAAAATAGTAGTGTACATGTTATGCGTTAGCATAGTGTTTTATTCATTTACTATTTATTCATTGATTTCAGTATAGACATCAGGCTTTCAGAAGGAATGTACCTTGGACATATAAAAGCATGGCGCGACGTGCTTGTATAGTTAGGCATGCTTATTGTGGGATCTTGAACAAATCTGTCATCTCTATTATCTTCTCCAAAATGATAGGATGCATCCGAATCTAGTCTCTCAACTATCTCGTTTATTTGCATGCAGTTGAGAATCGAGCATTCATCTAGAATATTGTCTGCTGTGGCACGCGCTTCTATAAGGTTGATCAGCTTTATAATTGATGTGATGTGCGACAAATTAAACATACCTTCTGAGTAGTTGATGCTTCTACAAAACTTGTCTATTTCATTGATATTGTAGTTTATCTGTACACCTCTGTTGAATGAAAGAAAATTCTTTCGGACAAGGATCTCATTGAAAACAGATGCATTGATTATTTTCAGTAAATAATTAGCAGATTCTATAATGTATGGCTCTGGGATGTGATAGTACAGCATTTGATGATGGAAGTATTCAAGAAGTCGAATCAGCTTTGAAACATGAGGCGGCTTGAAAATCTTCTTGAGATATCCCTCATTGCATTTGAATATAGAAAGCTGCTGATGCTCAACAATGGCATGAGGCAGTACTTCCAATACAGATACTCTTTGCAATTCACAAAGATGCTTGAATAATATTGATATCAGGCTTTCTATCTCTTCCACAAAAACATCTTCTCCTCTAAGGATACTCTGGTATTCAATCAGGTTAGACAATATAAACGAAATCTTGTGAATGTTTCTCTCAAACAAATGCAATTTAAGATATATTTCATCTATTATACCAAAACTTGTTTCAAATGCATCTCTATCAAGCTTGCTTACTACATAAAATGCAGAATGTGCCAAGCTTAGCATCTCTGGCCTCGGAACTTCTTCATTTGGAAACGATGGCGCAAATTCTAGGTATAGCTGAATCAAGCAGCTAAAAATATTGTACGAATTCGTAAATGACACGCTTATCTGCGATTCTTCATCCTCTCCCTCTTTTTCAGACAGTTTTCTTTCTAAATCCTCTACCCTTGCCTTATATTTCTCAAGTTCTAGCTCCACCATGTTTTTTTTCTTCAATGCTTCACTTTGGAATCTGTATTTCATCTCAAGCGATTTACAGCTTCTACAAGGTGCTTCGCAGAAGCGTTTGTATTGCTCTATCTTCAATTCCAGATCTTTAATTATCTCACTATATGTTCTATGGGTTTCGCCTTCATGGATGCATTTATCATCAATATCGATGCCGGAACAGCCTGCAACCACAGATTCTTCGTCTTTCAGCATCATATCATCGCACTCTATAACCACTGGAGCAGATGCAGGATTTACAGGTTCATTATTGTATTCATTTTCATTTACAAACGTAATTTTTTGCCTTTTTTCTTGCGAGTGCTTTTTCAAATATGCTCGCATTGATACCCTGATGATTCTAAAGCACTCTTTATAGGCATGGCTTCTACAGTTCTCTAATATATCCAGCGTCTGATTGCTCATGAAGCACTTGCTAGCTCCCTTTATAACACTCACGATTCCGTAAGCACTTTCTCCAAGTATACTGTATCTATTTTGAAAAGTTTCAAAGAGCATTTCCTGTGCAAAGCACTGCTTGCTTATTCGGATTGCCTGCAGAATTCCACACTCAAATAGTTGTTTTGATATCAATGCTCTATCAAAAACTCCCGGCTTTTTGTAAAGATTCGGCTTTAGACACTTGATATATTTCACCTGAGTTTTGCCTATAGAGCTCAAAAGTTCATTCATCGAGTGCTTAAAATATCGTACCAGATCTCCTTTGCTGTTGTCATCAGTAATAATCGGCATGTTTGTAAATATCTTTAAATTTCCCTTTTCCTTGTTCTTCTCAATGAACGACTTGAGGTCATATTCCACATCTCCTGCATAATGTGATACTATTATTTTATCGTCCACAGCTGTTTTGATGCTTGCACCAAGATAGTTTTTTATTTTAGTACCAAGATTTGCCGCACTGCCCCATGAGTTCTGACTTTCTTCACTTATCAGATCAGCCAGTCCACAAGGCTTCTCAATATCAACGATGCATTCTTTATCTGCTTTATGCTCAATACTTTTCCACACAATGCCTTCACTCTTGTAGTTATCTTGCTTTTCATTCAAAATCTTCCTGACAAATTCACTTTGGATTTTTTCATTTGTCCAATTGATACAAAATTGGTCAAGGCCGTTGCTTTTGAATGCCTCAAATCCAAAAATATCAAGCACTGAAATTGAACTTACACCACACTTGCCTCTCAATCGATTATTTATACATAGCGTGATGTAATTGAATATGCTTGAATATAATAATCTTGCCATCGAGTTCCTTATTGTGATTGCCTGTGCTTGCGTATTGAATACCTCAATCGTCTCTCCCTTGACTTGAATGGAAAGCTTAACCAATACTTCTTCAACCAGATCTTCATCAATGCCATATATTCTACAGAATTCAACAAAACAATCATTTCTTACCACTTTCAGAATACCATCACTGACAAAGTCAACAGAGCCCAGATACAGAATTCCAATCAAGTATTTTTCAATCTGCTTAGCATTTTGTATTTCTAATTGCTCAATAGAGGAGAATACTTTAGCATATTCTTTGGCATAATCTTCGAGCTCTATGGTGTTTGGCATACTGGATGTATCAATAAAATCATTCTTGATAAATAAATGGTGTGCGGCGCAAAGCTGATAAAACACATGGAAGTTTTTCTCTCCTTGCTCATGATGCGTAACTCTGCTCTTTTCAAGAAGATAAGTCTCAAACACTGCTCCGCAAATGCTTGTGTCGCCGTTGAAAAGTAACTTTATTCTCTTGCCAAATCTGGAGCTATTGTCATTAATACGTGTGCAAGCATTTCCAAACGCTTCCAGCACTGTGTTAGCAGCAGCTATGCCTTCGTGGATCGACATCTCGCTCTTCAATTTTCTTAATAGATAGTCTATCATAAGCTTTGCATTTTCCGTCTTGCCTGATCCCGACTCGCCACTGATAACGATTGTTTGATCTCCATGCACACTAAAGTCTCTGTAGCACGATTCTGCAACGCTATACACATGAACAACTTCTCTATCTTCATCAAAACATTGATTAGCAAAGCCATTCACACACGAATCCATTCTTGTGTATGGATTGACGGCTAGAAACACCACCCCAGACCTTGTATATATTTTGTTTGCAAAATACCTTTGCTCAAGAACATCGACAACCGTGTTTTCATTCAGATCATCTATTTCGCAAAGATCGTCATTCTGCATCCCTGGGCTGCAAATACCTTGTTTTGTTGCTGCATGAACCAATTGAATAACAAAGCATTCTGATTCGAGAAGATCGAGGTGATCAAGCAAATGAACCAGTAGAAGCAAGAAACATGTATCAGTTTACTGAGAGAAGTTACTTTTAAACATTAAAAGAACCAGCATCCATTTGCTTTCTAAAATATGCTTATGCCTGGTTAGAGGCATGCTTAACAATGATATTTAGTTTTTTATCAAAGTAGAGTAGTGCACAAGCAAGATCATCATCACTTTCAAGCATCACATATTCATCGTTGTATAAGATATACAGCAAAAATTCATTGTAATGCTCTAGACTTACAAATTCCAGGCTTTGAGAAGGCAAGAAATGTCCTCCAATTCTTCTAATCACACTCCTTTTGAAGATGTTAAATGACGGGCCTTCAAGAGGAACCAGGAATCTCAGGTCTGCGAACTGTACAAATACAACACCAACAATATCATTCTTGTTCAAGACAGTTCCTGATCGTTTGTTTTTGAATATCTGAAATATTTTGTTTTTTTTTTCGCTTTCACAGGGAATCCTTAGGCATGATGCGCCAGATATTTGAAACTTCAATCCTTTCTTTCTCTTTTCAATTTTGAGAATGCTTTCATATGGAACCTCGCCCACCAGCCTATCCTTATGCATGATTACAAATTTATCCAGGCAGAAATGTGTGGAGTATTCAAGAACTTTTGAGTTGAATTCGTATTTGCTTGATATGCTTGTTAAAACACCCTCTATTCCTTCTGCATGCATTTTGTTTTGATGTATGATGTTTATGTTTTCAGTGCAAACTATTGTTTCAACTTTGCCAGCCAAATGTTGTTTGCCGCTTGCAATACAAATTACAGAATAGCAAATACCGCCAGAGCTGTATATTCCCTCCAAATCAAACTATAAAACAAAGCCAATGGCAAAGGGAAATGAAGAGCAGAATCAGAATCAAAACATTTCTACCATCTCCTGAGTCTTTAGAGATTATAAAGCCATTTAAGAAAAGTAAAAAAGCAAGGAAAGAACGGCCTTCGAAACAGCGTTTAGCAAAGTCGATTTATGAAGAAACTGATCTTTCAAAACTCACACTGAGACAAAGAGTCCTCCATCAGAGATACCATCAGAACAAGCAAAGCGCTAGCAGTTTTTTCCTATTGTCTAATAACATATCAATGAATAATATTGAACATAAAGACACAGTTTCAACAGAAAAGGCACCAAAGCGAAGCAGATCAAAGCATAAGCGATCCATTATCTTATATGAAATAAAAACACCCGAAGATATCAACAAAGTTAGGCTTGATGCATTTGAAGAATATAATGGCAACTTATCTGATGCATTGTCCCAAGAAAGCAGCTATATCCCTATAGAAAGCGATTTGATAAAAAGCGAATATGAATGCCTGGAATTGCAATGTGAAGACTCATCTTCCATAGAATCTTCAATAATAGAGCCATTGTGTATTGAATCACCATTTTGTGACAAACCTATTGAGTCTAAGCTAGAGAACAGCAATCTTTGCATAGGATGTTTCAAAGACGCAATAAGAATTTATTGCAAGCTTGAGAATATGAATAGTATCCATCATTGTAGACTTCAGAAGCTTATAATGGTTCATAAGCACAGAATACGACAGAGTTTCAAGCAAAACACTTGCTTTAGCGTCATAAAAAATGACGAAGTCCAGTTTTTATATACACTCGAAAACGCGAGATGTTGTATGCCCTGACTTTAATATAGAGTTTAATCTGTTTATTTTGCTATTTCCTTTTCCTCGAATTCAATTATGCTTTCTATTTCCTGGACTATGGGCCCAGAATCTTCGAACCGCGAAATCCTTGTTACTTCAAGGTTTTTTGCATGCTTGTTGTCCGAAGGAGCATCAAATAGCTGATCGCGTATTGGGCAGAACATAGACATTAAAAGCATGTCAAGAACGAGTCTTGTGCCAAAATTCAAGCTCTGCTGGATTTGGTAGCATAGCTCTGTCATTTCAAATGGAATTGCTACAGTATTTACGGTATATGTGAAAAATCCATGGAGCATCAAGCAAAAGCTTAGTAAGTTTGTACTATCAAGCGACTTGTATTCAGAAAGAAATCCATGCTTTGCTTTGAGAATCATCAAAAGCACCACCGAGAGATACACCTCACTTCCTAGCAAGAATGATTCCATGAAAACGGCTGTCTTTTCATTTCCGATTTTAGGCCTGCTGTAATAGTACAAAATCAAAGGTGTCCTTAAAACCGCATATATTTTTGAGAAAGTAATGACCGATGTATTGAATATAGATTTCGTAACAAAAGTTCCTACAACAGACATATTTGTTCGGAACACATCAAATGCTCTTTCTCCACTATTGAATACAGAATATGCACACGGGCCCCATAGTCCAATCAAGAGGAACACAGCCGACATTCTAAGAACTCTAGAAACACTAAGAGAGATGTTCAGGACGTACACTAGATCTACACTCAGGCTCTTATATTTTATAGGATACTTTGCATCCAACACACCATTAAGCTCCACCCAAAATTTATCTATATCAACCCTTGTACTAAGATATGTAACAGTGCATATATAGACTGTTGAAAACAAAATAGAAGTCAATATGAACAGTGATCCAAGACTTCGAAGCTTTCCTTTGAATATATTGTAGCTGGGAAGTGTGCTTCTAGATGATCTCCAAATAGAAAAAACCAACAGCAGTGTAGAAAATACAGCCTCGTTCATGTACTGCATGCTTTTGAGGTCATCTTGGCTTACAGCATTTTCCATTTGTTTACTGAATCATTCTTACTTTATAAGACCGTTTTGCAATCTGAAACCGTAATCAAAACACAAATCCTACTCTTTTATTATCGATACGAATTCACTTAGTATACCAATTATGATAACTGTTTTCATAATGCATATTAAAAATCATATAGAACTTGTATTTTGTATAACAACAAATCATATATCACGAGGATATTAAGTTCGGGAAGAGATTTGGTGCGAGATAAAATGAGATGCCGGGTGATCTGATGGCGCTTTGATCCATGATCGGATCGTCCGTTATCAACTAATCTATCCATTTTTACAGCGCCAATATATATGCCATGCTCAAGCATCATGCATACCATGCCTGACTGCCAATGTAGCATTTGCAGAGTGTAACCCATGCACATGCATAGCAACACATCCAGTGAGTCCGTCAATAGGCTTCTCAGTGTGATGAGCACACTTGAAAAAATACTGCGTGATATACAGACTGGCGAGATAGACAAAAGCAGCATACACGAAGTTTCCAGGTGCATCAATGAGTTGAAGTCAAGCGCCATGAACTGACACACTGTCTACTGCACCTATTGCATCCAGCCAAATATTGTCATTTGCTACCCATAGCGTTAAATAAACATTGCTGTTCAACAACAAGACTCTATAAATCTATTTATTCGTATTCATTACACATATGCATGCATACATCACTACTGATATTTAAAAGTCATAGTGGCATCATAGGCTGTCATAGATTAAAGAATCCGGAATATATCCTAATTGCTTACAAAGCTCTCCGCCTTAGGATTCCTCATCTCATCTCAGTTTGCTTTACTGCTTTGAACTCTTCATTGGCCTTACTTCAGCATCTCCCATTCTGCATATCATATCTTCCCAGGCATTAGGCAAACAGTCCCAAATCTATTTTACTCTTACTCTTGCTCTTGCTATCCAGCGCATCGCTACTATTTACCATTACTACTACTGCAGCATTTCATTGTTGACTTCATTACTCACATCCACATCGACACCCATCCGCTGTACTACCCATTCTGTAATTGCCATTACACACGTGCTCACCACAACAATTACATTCTTCGCTATTCTACCTGCATTCTTACTTACATATACTCCATCATTCTTCTCATTCCCACCATTAATAACCGCTACTACACTCGCTATTGCCATCATCACTGCAATCATCACTGCCATCATTCTCACTCTCACTCTCACTCTCACACACTCATTCATATTCACACCCTCACATATGCCCTCATACACACCCATCAATACTCTTACCAGCGCCATCACTACACTTCCTCCTATCATCAATCTGTCATACCACACTGGCTTATTTGCACACTTCACATATACAATCACACTCAGTATCATTACCACAGTCACTGCTGCCATTGCCATCCTACTTATCACTGCTTCATCACTGATTGCATGCCCATTCATCAGTGCATT